ACACACACACACACACACACACACACACACACACACACACACACACACATACGTATATGCTTTTGCAGGTACACACACAGGTACACACACAGGCACACACACACACACACACACAGTAAAACATCTGCTCATGCTGTTATGGAAATAAAAATGCAGTAAAACAATCTGGCACATACACACAAATGCAGAAAGGGTCAGATGAATAACATGAACGGTTCAGACACAGGCTGACATTTAGTGACACGAACACACGCAAACAGATATGCATGCACATACTACTTATGTACAATATAACAGCTGTTGGACTCCTCCTCCCCCACTGACCCAGATCACTGACTGTGGGGATGAGTCTGTCCCCCCCCCCCTAATATGGACAAACTCTTGATTTTTCTACCAGCAGCAGGAGTTTAATGCCAAACTTATTCTGAAAGTACAGCAACATACAAAGACTTGGGTTGAAATAAATCAGAACTATCCCCTAAGCCTGGTCCGGTTGCCGCTTTGTGAAAATCCTTCACCTTAAACCGAACACTGATAACTTTACAGTCCAGTAAATGATTATTTTTGGTCAGAGCATATAGTTAAACATAGTAGAAAACATAAGTTTTGCAGAAATTATCTCTAAAACAGGCAAAATAAACGTAAATCATAATCAATACCAAAATGAGGATGTGGAGGATTTGATTTCCATTCATTCATCTCCAGTTCAGTCGTGTCTTTGGTTTTCCAGGCTTTTCTTTTACTATATTTTACTTTTTTCCAAATTGATACCTTTTAAGGTGCAATATTTGGCCCTTTTCTGTTTTTAGACCACTTTCATTATAATTTTCCATTTACTTCTCTTTTTCATCACATGAACAACAAACATATCTACATGAATACATTAAAATATGATCCTCAAACACCATCAATCACCACTGCAGGATAGAACAAAGAAAACTCACTCACCTGTGCCCCGGCTAATTATGCTTCCAAATTGTCTTGTCTGAGTTTAGGAGACTGTAAAAAATGACACCAAGAATGATTCCAAAAATTCAGTTTGAACTCAGGACAACTCTTTCGTATATGAACAAAGACATAAAAAAGACATAAACCATAAACATAAAAAAAAAACAATATTTGTCTGTTTTCGTCTGATTCATCACCTCATGAAAACCAGTAAATCAGTTGATGCAGATGACATCCTCCATTTGAGAATACAGTGGCAACAAAAGTGGTTTGGACTCCCTGAACAAACAGAAGACCCCGCCTCTCTCTGCATGGACACACAGACACACACACAGACACACACAGACACACACACACACACACATCCCAAAGTCATTGATTAGTCCAAGCCAGGGCTAATAGTCAGCCCTTAGTTTTAGCTCCATCAGCTAAACCAGTGGTCTGGAACCTTTCTGTGTGTGTGTGTGTGTGTGTGTGATTCCTGAAAAAATACAGATACAGCCCTCCCAACACTATACTTTTCAGCTTTTTTTTTTGTACTGTACCGTAGCCGATTCTGGTTTTGGGTTTAACTCTTCTGCTTCTTTAAATATTGATGTTAATCACCATGTGCGGTTGGTCGGGGAGAGGAAGCAGGAAGGAGAGCGGCAGCCAAATCCCCTAATTGTAAGAATAAAAAGTGGGCAGCAGATTGATCGGGACTCTGATCATTTCACACTGCGTTTCAGTGTTTGGGTTCCCGACGGCTATTTGTGAGCCATTAACAGCCCTGATAACAACAACACCAGTTAGTACTAATGGACTGAAGAATTTGTCACACGAATATATCGAAAATATTATGTAACACTAAAAGTCAGGGAGGGCAGAGCAGATCTTTGGCTTTAAATCTCCTCACTGTACTGCTTTAGCCATACGCAGTCTGTTTATCGAAAGAATCATACTGTATGCCTGCACGTCACGAGGAAAGTGATTAAGTTAAAGGTCATTATCCCCGTTGTCCTGAGAGACGACGGTCGCCATTGGGAGACCAGCTGATGACTTCATCCGACGATGAATCAGTCCATCACACCGTCAATGGAGTCATTGTTGCACACCGAATGAAACATTACGCTGCATTGTGATGTTGTGAAAGCCCTTGAAGTAAAACATGAGCATCAATGACAAAATGTTGATTGTTTTAGGTGAGCTTGTGTGGTATTTGACACTGAAACTGTTCAAATTTCTACTTTCCTTTGAGCTCTTTAAACCAAAAAGCTGAGGTTAAAAGTATGGTATCACTATAAGGTCCACACCACAAAATCCATTTAGTAGCTGCTCCATCTGCTTATGAAGATCATTTGATTTGATCAAAAGCTCCACAACAGCTCCTAAATGGACCTAGTGGACAAACTTAATGGCTGCTCGGTTCAATCAAATCAACTCCATTGTGTCAGCAATGCACCGTGTGCTCGGTTAGGCACGACAAACTCAGGGAGCGATTTATTATTGGAAAAAGAAAAAGATGTTTTATTGGTCTATTAGAGTTAATTGGGCAAAGCCCCTCAATACTGCTGGTTGTGTAAAAACCAGTTGATTAATCACTGCAGACATTATGTCACACTATTGATCGTGGCAAAAGAAGGCAACGATATGACATTAAAGCAATAGTGAGCGTACCTTCATTGTGATAAGTGTTACTTGAGGCTGGATCAATCTTGAATAATCATCATCATAATAATCATCATAATACCAGTCAGCCATGCAGATCCATTGACACAACATAAAAAAAGACAAAGGAAGTTTGAGAACATTTAATATCCAATTAAAATATATTCCAGTTTATGTAAGAGCAAAACATTGTTAAAAACAAAAAGACAAATGTGTAAAAATGTTTTCATTGGCGTTCCGATGTCTCATAATATCCTAAATGACAATGGCTTTTAATAAAAACTTTATGGATGACAGAAAACTGTAGATATGTTGTTTAAGAATGAATTTGTACTTCCATGTTAGCTGTACATTTATTTGTCATGTAACATGCTGGTTATTTGTACTTTGACAACAATACATTTTCTTTGAGTACAAAAATAGGAAAGAAAATATGTTTTTTCTTCTCTCAAATGTATTCTTTTTCTTTTTTTGTTGCTGCTGTTTTTGTGTTCTCTGGTAGCTACTGTATCGTCTGGCTGTCTACCAGTTTAGCACGGGAGCTAAACACAAACGGCAAACCCTAACCCCGATCAAATTAAACAATTTTATTGACTTCAACTTCTCTGTGAGGAACTGAGCACATGGATCGTAACAGTATTTTGGAAGTGCATTTTCTATCATATTGTCTTCTCCACTTGCTTTAAACAGGCCTTTGAACTCAAAACTATTATCGGATATATCTAAATACCTTCTCTGCTGCTATTTATGGCTTTGAATCCATTTAACCCATTGTTTATTCAACTGGACTTACCATCAATAGCAAAGTGTTTGATGAATAAAAACGTACTCTTCCTGAGGGGACTTTCTGTGAGATGTTTGGCAGTGAAAATGTTCAGGAACTGTGGAATGAATGCAAAAATCACTTAAAAATACACAACTCGAGTGATATTTCAGTGTTTTAAAAGATTGTCAATGGTTTTTCACTGGTGTTGAAATCCCCTATGTTAATCCTGACTGGATTATCTAATCTTTAAAACTGTCCAATCACATCACTGACATCTGTAAAAACACAGGTACACCTCTGAACTGCTCTCTGTGAGGTAGGGCAAGTTGACGACCTCCTGTACTTTCCTCGTTACTTCAAGTGAGATGGATACCATGTCATTTTTAAATCTTCCTCAGCTGTAACTAAAGTACCAATACAGATGTTCATCCCAGCTAGAGTGTGCTGGAGAAGGAAGAACAATTCAAAACAACACGGTATCATTTGAATAACTTTAAAAGAATTTGGATAGTGAAATATACTAGTTTAATGTTCCTATAGAACGCAAACTAGTAGGAGCATAATTTAAAATAATTGGAAATTAAAATCCAACAAATTCCATTTAACAATTAAAAATACTTTTCCAAATATACAGAAAACAAAAACATGTTGAACATGTTTTACATTTACAAGTCAGTTTGAGCATATCCTTCAGCACTAGTTTTTAGCCCGGGAAGACTTGTTGACGGACAGGCTGGCTGGTGTTAGACGACGGTCACGGAGTAAAGGCTACAAACAACTAAAACAAAACAGATTCAAATAAAAGTCTGCTACATTTGGTGAAGAAAATAGTGCAGGGAAACACAAATGTCAAACAGCGTGAGAAACAGAGAGTTTGCAGTATAGGCTACATTTCCCCTTAACCACAGGTGACGTCAAGACCGTAGAGTTATGCCATATTTGAGGAGTCACAGGATGAAAAGTGATGTATTTTTGTAAAAATGGAAACACACATTAGGAATTTTTGATAACTGCTTTTTTGTTGTTGTTGTTGCGACTAGAGAGACTTGGTTCTAAGGGAAGAGAGTCAGGTTCTGTAATACAGTAAGTGTGTGTGTGCGATTATAAGTGTGCTACATCCGTGTTAGATGTCGAAGAAGGAGCCCCGCTGCTCTGGACAGTATACTGTATGTGTAGACAGAAGGTGTGAAGAGTCATCAGTACTTGCTGCCAGAGTCATTAGTAAAGCGGCTGATGTAAGCTTCGTAGATGGTGTCCAGGAATGAGCTGTCAGTCTGAAACACACAAGCACGGCTCATCATACTGTACGTCTGTGTGCATGCATGCATATTCTCATAATTAACAAATGGACAGAGGGAAATGTCAGTAACATTGTTTTTATACCTGGATCATGTGCAGCATTGTGGCCTGAAGCTGGCTTCTGGACAGGACTCTGATGTCCTCCTGCAGCGGGGGTCTGGACAGGATTGAGGGGGCAGAGCAGCTCTCCTGGGCAGCCGCCGGCAACCCGCCACTGGACTTTGCCTGAGTGAACACACTGGGAGAGAGGAGCAGGTTGGGGGCCACAGTGGCCGGTATCCGCTGGGGGGAGATGACCTGGATAGACAGGGAGACTTATTAGTAATCATTTTAAGCAACCTAAAAATAAGAATTTATACAAATGTAAACAAGTAAAAGACAAACGCTACTTCGTAGTGCTTACCTGAAACTGCAGCGCAGCCTTTTGGCCCGCGGTCTGGTTTGAGACCGGTCCGACTACTGAGCCTGCACCTTGACCTTGAGTGGGCCCCAAGAACCGAGGGGCCAGTCCTGGACAGAGTCGGGGGGGATCGTGGGAAGCCAGGCTTTGCTCTTGTTGGACCAGCTGGAGCTTTTGCAGGAGCTCATGAGGCGACACCACACCAGACATCTGGGAAGACAGACCTGACCGGAGAGCACGATTAGAGGATTAGAATCATTCTAATGAAGAAGAGATAGATACATAGTCAAATATCTGTAGGTAGGTCTGTCGCATTTGTTACATAATTGCCTGTTCTAACTAACCAGCATAGTTTTGTCACATTAGAAATATTCAAGGAAACTGATGTCATACCTTGTGAAGGTTGAAGGACGTGGTCAGTGGTCACCTGAGATGGCAGCAAACCTGGTAGAGCAGAGAACATATTAAGGAAAATGAGTTTCTACTCATCACTCATCCTTCACTTATTATTTACAATGTGACACATGTATGTGGTACATTTACTCAGTACATGGTCATACTGCTTGTTCATAGCATAATGACAGGATAAAAGATGTCCCCACCTGTTCCCTGTATAGCCGAAGCTGACTGACTGTTGTGCTGCGCCTCCGTTTGAGGTTTAGCGAGGCTGAAAAACAGCTGCTGGCTTTGTTGCGCTTGAAGGTGGGAACATGACACAGGATCCACCAACACGGGCTGAGAGGAGAGGTGAGGGTTCTGCTGCAGAGGAGGCAGGTTGGAGGAGGGAGGAGGTGGCTGGGTTTGGAAAAGTCTCTTGATTGGGTCAGCCTGCAGCTGTTGCTGTTGTTGCCGTTGATGATGGTGATGAAGGAGGTGCTGCTGATGATGATGGTACAGATGGTGATGGTGGTGGTGAAGCTCCAGCGGCACGCCGTTGTCACACAGCCGGTTCTCGGGGGACTCGGACACGGTCTGAAGGACGCCTCCGACCACCCCGACTCCCCGCTGTCCCTGCATGAGTTTCTGGATGGCTGGGCAGTGCTGAGGCTGGTTCTGCTGCTGCTGCTGCTGCTGATGATGGGCGCCAGTGGGACTCGGCAGCAAGCCCACGACGGCGTTTCCGCCGTGTTCCCCGACTGTTTGTCCTCCAATCACAGCCCTGAGCCCTCCATCTGAACAGCCAACCACGGCGACGTTGCCTCCCTTGGAGGTCGCACTTCCGCTAGAGTTCACCGTGTCGTCGTATTTCAGTGAGCGGGCTACAGGCGGGCGCGTGACCCGTCCCGTCGATGGCCCCGTCTCGGGGGCAGCCATAGGAGGGACCGGGTCAGGTTTGGATGAGTGTTGAGGTTGTTGAGGTTGAGAGCCAAAAAGAGTGGCCAGAGAGAGAGGCTTGGGTTGAGCACTTTCACTGTCCTGGATGAGACAAAGGGTTATTTCTGAAGGGTTTTTAACAAATCAGGCGGACTACAAAAGGTCATTAACACCCTAGAATGAAATAGGAAGTGGATGAGAATGTGTTACCTGTGTGTTCAGTTTAACAGGTATTGGTTTGATCAAGTTGGGGTTTCCATAAATAACACTGCTGCCACCAATCTCCTTTGGCTCCGACGCAGACTTCATTTAGAGAGGCACATGGATAAAGGGGAAAAAAAAGAGATAATGTGACGCAAGGAGAAGGCCAGAGAGACTGGAGAGAGGAAGATCTCAGGTGATCTGTGCTGCCTATTGGTCAGTATGAGGAAATGCAAACAATCAAATTAAATGTGTCAAATTTTACCAGAACAAAAGAAATCCACGGCAAAATATGTTTTCTTCTTTTTGTTAAGGAAGGAGATTATTTGGTGTTATCCTACCTTGTCATACTCTGTGCGTGCTTTGGTCAACATCTGGATGATGTCCACTGCCTTCGCTTCACTTCCTCCGCTTCCTCCGCCTCCTCCTTGTCCAACTCTTCCTCCAAGTACTCCCCCAAGAACTCCTCCTCCTCCAACTACTACTACTGATCCTCCTCTTCCTCCTGGGGACAACCAGCCCCCCTGGGACTGAGCCTGCTCCTGCTGGGTCAGACTACACACACACACACACACACACACACACACACACACACACACACAGCTCCACGTGAGAATGCATTACAGATCCATACAAGACAAGCAGTAAAATGGAGTACTTAAGTCAGGATAAGACAAGCAGTTTACACCTAATATATGTTTGAAGCCAAAGTAAAAGAAACAATCGCTCAGCCTGGGAGCAAAGCTCATTCAAACATACTACAGTTGTCATTAGTTGGCACCCCAGACACAGGTCCATTAATAAACAAATGACGGATCATAACTCACTAGTCCCTGTTTAGTAGACCCAGTCACATTTCATTCCCATTTTGTTTTCTCCAACTGCTGTATACATACACTTTGTGGTGATATAAGCACTTACATCTTCATCCTCTGAGCAATGCGTTGACAGTCCTCCTTATCGTAGAACCAAATGCCATGGATAACCACTGGGGGAGTGAGGAAGAGAGGGACAAAGAGGAGCAAAGAGAGAAAGAAGTGAACTTTTTGAACATAAACAAACTTGTAACAAAAGGTGCTGGTCAGGGCTGATGCCCCGGTCAAAGATAAAGATGAAGTAGAGCATTGAAATGATGAAACTGCCGGCTGAATTATGAGACGCAGCAGCCAGTGAGCTGCAATACCCTTACAATCAAATGAAGGCACAGACATTCTGTCGCACAACTCCTGCTGCCGTGACATCAACGCAGGCCCGACAGACGCGTAGAGCGTGTATTATTAGCCCTGCTGGGTCTAAACCAGGGCTTACAGTGAGTCATTTCCCAAAGGGCAGCAGAAGCCTACAGTGCCGTTACACAGTGAAACATGGGCCCCTGGAGTCTCTTGAACTGCACAAACATGGTCAACAAGGGAGGAAGAAGGCAACACTAAAACCCATTTGCCATAGGATTACACAGCAGTGAGCAAGTAGGTTGCATTACAGTACACAGTGACTCATTTGACTATTTTCATTTGCACTGGCTCCAAAAGCATATTGAAAGAAGCGGTTGTGTGATTATTCAATTCCCGTCAGTGTGGAGAGATTCAGAATCTTACCATGGAATAAAATCTTACCCCAAAAAATAAAAGCAGTAAAGGTCTAAAACTACGTCCAGATCCCAGAGGCCCACTTCCTTCATGTTTCCACTCAAACAAGTCTCTATGTGTCGCATGAATACTGAGGCACCGGAATTTTGGTACAAAAACAATTCTACTGTAAAGGGAACATAAACCTGTTTCCACTTTCTTATCTAACAACAAAAAGTCTCCTAACCGGAACCAGACGACGCTACATACACATGGCATGTACATCATCTCACACCACAGCACGCTAACTTTCTACAGTGAAGATGAGGTCGATTGTAACAAGGGAAGGAGGCCACCGAGAGACAGAGAAGTAGTCTGCTGTATGCGGTGGACACATTTACCCCCACAGTCAAAAAGACACAACCACACACATTCCCACACAGACAGACATGCACAAAAATATACCACACACACACACACACACACACACACACACACACACACACACACACTTCAGTTGAGCCTGGGAAAATCAGCCCAGTACAAAATAAGTAACTGCAGTGGGAGAGCGTCTGCTGGAGCCAGAGCCTCTTAGTGCTCGCTGGGGATGAGACTGTTTGAGATCACTGAGACACAGACTCAAAGTCAGAGAGCTGGAAAATGAAGGGACAGATGTGAAATAGGAAGAAGTGAGGTGTGTTAGAGAGGAGATTATCATCAATTAACAAGAGAGAGAAACATCTAGTTCTGAGAGCTCTTTAGCTGTCAGGAAAGTGACTGAGTTTTGTCAAATAAGTGAATTGAAGGGAGGAAACAGAGCTAGATACAAGACTCAAGTCTCTTTGACCAGTATGCTGCTCTGCCTCACCCCCACAGAGAGAGAAAGACAGAAGATAATAAAGAGGACAAGATAAAAAACGTTCAATAGAGATGATTATCACACATTTTTAGCTACACTGACCTATAAAAAGCCTCCGAGCAAGAGAGATAGTGGGAGACGGAGAGACGGAGTGGGAGGAGAACAACAAAGAAGTGGCAACAACGATACACTTTCAGGGTGAAAGTTAGAGAGACAGAAATAGAGAGAAAAAAAGGGCTCCAGTCAACAACACTGGAGACCGCACGAAAGAGAGAGGAAGAAAGGCAGAGGGACATTGAATAAGTGAAGCAGAGATCCTGACAAAGTGAACCGTCACATGGGGTGGAGAGGACGACCAACGTCACTAAGCGAGAAACATCCATCCTGAACGGGACATTTTGGACGAGGAGTATTGGAAACGCCGGCAACTATCACTCTGCTGAAGTCTGTAAGTGATCCAGGACTTCAGCGGTGTGGTGCCTACAAACCCTCCTGGGACTACGACAAACCAGACCATCTCTGGCGCACGCGTGATGTCTGCTGTAGACCTTCACTCAGTCTTCAAGTGGGACTTTATTTGAGTATTATTTTCGTCTGGCTCAACTACTGCTCTGTTTGGAGTTGCGTTTAAAAGAAGACATTTTTGGTTAAATCTTGTTGTCCCAACTTGCACAGCAACATTGCATTTTCCAGGAAGCTTAAATGTGCTTTGAGAATACAGTAACAGTGTTTGGCTGGAACCCAAACTGCACTTTTGGACTACTCGCAACATACTTTTGTTTTGTTTAGACTTCGTATAGTCAGAAATGCAGACATATTTGTTAGCAGCAGTGTTGTCCAGGATGGATTAGGTGTACTTTTACTGCAGTATGTGATCGGCTTTGTGGAGAGAGTTCTCTGTGCATCAGTCATGAGGAACAGTGTTGATATTATTTGGGACAATATTTAGTTTGTCAAAGTTAGGTGCTCTTACAGAAACACACATCTATGCTTGGTATTGTTTTCCCAGAAGAACCATCGCTTACTTTGCAAGAATGGAATTCATGACATTGGAGGATTAAATATAGAGATTTGCAGCTATTGAAACTCATCTAAGAAGACATTAACACTCTTGTTACACCTTCCCTTCCTGTTGAGGCTTAACTGCAGGTTAATTTAAAAATTGCTCTTTTTCTCTTGATGCCAAGTTCTAAGGAGGCATTGCCACAACCGCTGTGTCAGCTGTATGTGCACTACACCTGAGAGACATTTACGCAGTGCCACTCATCACAGAAGTTCACTATCCTTTGCTTCGGAAGAACAATCTTATCAGAGGAAGTGTCACATCACCTTTGGCATCACTTTCGTTGAACCTATTATACGATTTTACTGGAGTTGCAATTTAAGGTGTAATCTGAGCAACTTCAAGTTGTAGAGAGACTCAAAAGAGGCAACTACTACCAGACTGTGAGGCTCCTGAGAAACCAGAGGAGCCATGCTGAGAGGCCTGTTTCAGAGGAAACCTAAACATGAGAGGCTGGAGGAAGAACCTGAGGTCAGATTCAAAGGCTTGCTGGTGTCAGAGAGAGACCTGGGATACACATACGTCCAAGCTGGAGGTAAGACCGCCCATACATCTGATATATAAGTGGAGCGGTAACGTTAACATGAATGTAGTGGGCCACAGTACATTTTACAGGTATGTTCTCGATTAAAGAATTGATCATTTGGCCTATAAAATCAGAAGATTGTGTAAATGCTATTTTTAAAGGCCACGGTGACGTCTTCTAATCTGTTTTTGCCAACTGTCCAAAACAGAAAAGACAAAGACCGAAACACAATTACGTGGTTCTCAAAATAGCTGCGTGTTCATTTATTAAGAGTTTCAGCTCTTTCAATTAATGAACAAACTTCCACACCTTTGCGCTCTGCTTCATAATGATTACTTATAACGAGAGTACAGGAAAATGAAACCAACTTCTGTGCAGTATAATCACAAATCTGCACGAGGGGGTCAATGGCACAGGAAGACATGAATGTCCTGCACACACTGAGAAGACTGTAACCTAACGTTTTAGAAGATTTTACAACCCAAATAGGTTTTAAATGAAAAGACATTGAAATGAGTTGTTAGTTAGCAGTCACAGTATCTGGTGGAGCAGACAGATTCACGAGCCACGGCCAACAATCAAGACAGTAACACGGCCAAGGTTAGGGGTTGAACTAACTCCATATGCACTGCAGATAGTGGGCCCACTGACGCACTGCCTGGGATAGTAGGTGCCTATAGGAATGTAAAAAGCTTTCTATCCGTGTGCCTGCACTAGGACATTTGCCAGAGGAATCTCAACTTGCTCAGACTGAAGTTCTCTTCCCTTAACCGTGCTCTGTTCTGTGGTATATCTTCATTCTCCACCGTCTATTTTTAACACGGGGTGCCACTTTGTGCCAACTGCCATTCCAGGAAGTAGCGGCAGCGCTGAGAGCTACATGTTTATCTAAGGATAAGATTCCACGACCCTTGCTCAAAGAGGTCATGACACGGTGGGACTAGCAGCATTACCAACAGCCCGAAGCCTAAATAGTCACTCACTGATGATCACGTGACATTTCGATGTCTTTTAGAGCATCTGTGGTACCGGTTATGTGTTTTTAGCTGAATCTGGCTAAGCCTAGTCACGTATCCGAATGCAAAAATAATTATTCAGGGTCCAAAAATGCTGGTGAATCACAGCAGCGAGGGCGATAAAAATCAGCATGATTACAAGCGTTCTGTATCTCGCCTTATTTGCCCGCTTTATTATCCGTCTCTTATCAGCGTAATCGTCTGGAGCCACTGACCATTAGGTTTGTACTCGCCCACTCTTTAACTCACACAACCCCTGCCCATGTTTTCTCTTCGTCAGAGGAAATGCTAATCAACTGAGATGCGATTATTGGTTTTATGTGTTTTTAAATTCTTCTCCTTCCCCAAAAAAATGTGAGTTAGTTGTTGCACTTTATCCCCCATTACCGACGCTCTGACCACATCTAGAGGGAAGTATTTACCACAGATCATCTTTAATGTGTCCCGACTGCATTTACACCTGGTGTAAAACATATTAAGGGATCAGAGAGAAAAGTTGATCTCTTACACATTATTTCACTGAGCCTTCAGGGTGTTTAATGAAATACTACAGTAAGGGGATCAAAGCAGGCGTGAGGAATCCACTGGTGTCTAAACACACAGCATTCCACCTGCCGCTCACTGAGCCTGATGGAGAGTGTGAGACCATGACAGAGAGGGAGGGAGGTCTGTTTCAGCGAGTCCTGAGTGAGTGTGTGTTTATGTTATCAGTGACTGTTGTGGTATATCTAATCTCTGCTGGCTGGCTTTGTAGTGCTGTCAGGCTCTTGTCCCAAAGACACACTCTGCAACGTGTGTGTGTGTGTGTGTGTGTGTGTGTGTGTGTGTGTGTGTGTGTGTGTGTGTGTGTGTGAGCCAGATGTAGGTCTCAGAGGGAGACAGGCTGATAGAATTTGAGTCACAACAATGCTTCTGCTCCTTATAAGGAACTGGCGGTTCCGACTAAAACGAGCAGCATGCTACACACTTTGGTCACTCTGTGAAATTGTTAGTCTTTTATCTAACTTCCTCCCTGTGGCTATCGATGCACCTGTCATTTTTAAGTGTGATGTGATCACATTGCTGTCAGGTCGTAAAGGTCACAGAGATATGGTTTCATGTGGATTTTGAGATGAAATATACACAATCGAGTGTAAATATTTTTCAAGGGTTTGTCACAATGTGTCTGGCTGCTTGTGAAACACAGCTTAGTCTATTCAAACTATTTAATCTATGTGGCTAGTCCTGGTATTTAGTCATCTCTGATTCACTGCAATGAATATCACACTATAACAAATGGCAATGGGTTCAAAACTACACTTACTGTGCCTGCGCATGTACTGTGCTCAACAGGTGTTGAGATGACAAACAACTGAAGGCATCAATAATGAATAAGCAGACATCAGAAGTGGGTCTGTGTGTGTGTGTAGCTGCGTGTTTGTCTCCTTACATCGCACATTGCGGTAAAGCAGGAAGGGGTGCTGGAGCTGGAAGTCCAAGTCTTTGGTGATTGGCTCCGTCAGGTTCTCCATGCTGAGTCTGTTCATAATGGTGAAACCATGCCTGGGAGAGGCCAGTCTGAAACAGAAATAAGTGAGTCAATAACAACTTGAAACAAGAGGCTCTTCAGCTGTGTAATGTCCTCCCGTATTGCCGTATTATGATTTATTACACAGAAACAGTTGTGTTTAGTAATAAAATATGAATAAAGCTGAAAAATCCAATACTCAATTTAGCATGTTGACATTTAGGCATGGCTGTATGACGTACCAACTTCAGACTAAAGAACTTCAAAGGAATTCCCAACAAATATTAAGAGTTGTTCTTTAAGTAAAGTTAGTTTGGCATAGAAAGTCTTTAGACACAAATATGTCCAACATGAAGTCATTACCTTGTGTAGATAAAAAGCGTGCCTTCCACCTCTGTCTTCTCCTAAAAAACACATACAATAAAAGAAAAATTAGCAAAGTGATATAACTGGTTTAACCAAATCTCGTTGTTGGGGAAAAGTAAAATGAAAATATTTTCAAATTAAAAGCCCTCCCAAAAAAATTATGTTCCAGACCAAGCAGCTGAATTTAAAATGATAGTCTTCAAAGAACACAACAGTGAGAACTTTTTTTTTTAAATGCGTGTGTGGTGCTCGTGGGCAACGTGCATCTGTAAATATAATCTGTGGTACAATATTCCAGGCAATCGAATAATAGAGGGCTATACGTTTCAATTGTTGAGGAAAATAAGTCTTTAGACCCTCAACAACAATAGCTGGGGTTAACGTTATGGTACAAGTTAAGTTGGGGCAAATATGTGTCAGTGACAAAGCGCGCCTATCAGGGACGAAGCTAAGCTAAGTTAGCATATTAAGTAAAGTTAAGGCTTACCCACTCATTTGCCCTGTTGTTATACGTATACAGGGCAACTTGACTGGCCACGTCCACGATGTCATTGATGTATGGGTCTTGTCGCTGCAGAGCAGCCAGGCTTATGTCCAGTCCTTTAGCGGTGAGACAGCTGCTGCTACCTGCAGAAGTCGCTGTCATTGTTCCCTATGGAGAAGTTAGCTCGCTACCTAGCTTCAGCGGCTAACGAGTCGCAGGAAGATGAGATAAAAAAAGAAACCAACGGCAAGGTTAAAAAGTCAATTAAATTGGTAACTATGTAATAGTTTGTTTTGTAATTTAAGATTTGTAAATTTCAAATTTTAAAGATGTAACGAGTGCTAACTGCCATGAGTGAGTTTGTCAGCGGCCATGTTTAGCCAGAGAGATTGTAAACAACCAGACATGAGTAGTTGCGCTGCAGGGTTGGAGATTTCAGCCTTATCAATCAACATGGAAAAGTCGATGGACCATTACTGTTATCATCTGCAGGGATTTTCATTATTACTTTGCTCAAACAATTTATGATGATGTTATTGGCAAAGTCCTGAGAAAAATGTCTGTGTGCCATTAGGTATCATGTAGCTGTACTTTAATTTAAATTAACTTTACACACATGAAATCAATACTTATCAGGTAGCTTCATTTCATTGTCATTAGGTTGGCTGTAGAGTAAGTTTTTTTATTTCAGCTCTATTTGCTTATTAACCGGGTTGTATGGGCTACACTCTGTGTTAGTGTAATATATGGTTTTGGACACCTTGTGTGTGGTAGACACACAACATTGTTGGGTCTCTTAGTATTTTAAGGAAAGACAGCTATCCTGTTTGATTCTGTTTTAATTTGATGTCCCTATCACTTCTTCCAATACAAGTAAGCAGCTCATGTTTCTCTTTTGTCTTTCACTTCTGTATATCTGGCTTGTGGGTAACATAAACACTGATGCTGACTGATGTCTCCCAATCCTCAGTTACATTTCCCATAAAATGCACTAGGGGGCATCAAAGGGATGGATAAAACACAGCCATTCCTGCTCGAGCCAGTCACTGCATGGGCTTGAGTTGATAGAAACCATTTTTTTTTTTTTATTGTCATATACATATACACATACACGAAATTTGACCTCTGCATTTGACCCATACCTGTATATAGGGAGCAGTGAGCCGGGGGTTCAGTGTCTTGCTCAGGGACACTTCGACACGTGGCACGTCCCAGTTGAGGATCGAACCGTTGACCCTGCAGTTACTTAAGAGTTACCAGACTCTTAAGCCAGTGAGCCACGGTCACCCCCAAAAAATTAATTGTGTCAGGATAACAAAACCATTTTTTTATTGTCATATATATACATGAAATTTGACCTCTGCATATAGGGATGGGTCAGCTGCCAATGACAGGCGCCCCGGGGAGCTGGGGTTCAGTGTCTTGCCTCAGGGACACTTCAACATGTGATACATCCCAGTCGAGGATCGAACCATTGACCCTGCAGTTACCAGACAACCCTCTTAACCCAGTGAGCCACAGTCACCCCCACAGTTGATTTGAAAAGCCCAGACAACAATGCATGTGTGTGTGTCAATGAGAGAGGAAATCCTATGAAAAAGCAGTTACACCATGCAACAAAAACTCCAAATAGAAACAAATTCACAGCATTTCTAATATATGATAAGGTTCTACAGTTGGTTTGTCCAGCTATTTGCCAATGGGTGATGAAGGAATGTACACACAAGGACATGAGGCATCTTCTTTGGGAAGTGTAATTTAGTACATCATACAGTGGTGCAGTTGTCCATGCTACATTTTCTCCTCCTGCAGTGTTTTAAACTTGTAATTTTCTGGTTAATATATATTTCACTTATATTTTCACCTTCAGCAGTGCTGCTGTCCCCATATCTTTATGCTGTTGCTCGTCTCCTTCCAAGGTTTATTCAGATGCTGTGTTTTAGCACAGTGTATAATGCACCAGTTTCGGAAATGATACAGGAGCACGACTTTCAGGACTGTAAATTCTTCAAATCCATATCAGCCATACCCATATCACACATTAAATGTTGAATTACTGTGAATCTCCATATTCAGTTGAACATATCCTGTTCTGTTGCAAGGGTACTTGAGGGGAAAAAACACCTCAAGTGGATAAACATTAGCCCATTCATTCTGTTTGCATTTTATAGCTGATCATTTCTTGCATAATCACTCAATCAATTAGTTTTCAACCACTTATAAATACATACATGGATATCACTGAATTGCCAGCAATATATAGCCTTTGAAATGGTCACTCCTCCTATCCTCTGCTGTGTACTGTGATAGCTGTTTCTGTAATTGCATTTATATTGTCACAGAGATGAACAACGGCTGGTGTGCATCCATCAACAGCCATGTCAGAGTGTCCTTGAGAAAAAACAATGACCATCCAACTGCTCACTTTATTAAGCAGCACTGGATGAAAACATCTGTTTTAAAAAACATTCAAATAATGTCTCCACTTAAATGTGAAGGAAGCTCTTCCAGGTCAGAATGACACTTCTGCCTCGCCATTAACTTGAATATAGCTGCTTTGGCATTCAGTGCAGGCCTGTGTGTATTTTGCGAGTGTGATTTTAGGGGTGATAGTGAACTGTTTCAAGGTATACTATATATATATATATATATATATATATATATATATATATATATATATGTCTATTTGTCAGGGTGTCTATCTGTTAGTCAGGGAGTGCATGTTGGTCAATGATGAGGTTAATGATTTATACATCTGCAGATCAATACTGTCACGAACCACTCAGTGAAGATTGAGTACTTGACTCTGATTGGTGGGGATAGGGACGCTGATGATTGGCTGCAGGCAGAAAGGATGATGGGATATAGCCAAAAGGCAGCTTGTTGAAATTCACCAAGTAAAGGATATGCATTGTTCTCACCTGTTTTATTTCCACTCTACTGCAGGAATATTTTTGGAACAGGCCAATTTCTTAGATTATGTGAACCTTTTGAAGAGATTCCATAATTCATTCCTAATTTTCCTTTCCGAATTTTTATAGCTTCATGAATGACGTTTCATAAAGAATAGTGCAATTGCTGATTTTCCAAACTTGCATAACCAAATTATACAATCAAATCATAAACCATATATATATATAAATGCAGAATTAGATGCAGAAAATATTTTTTCTCAGATGGTGAAAAACTGTGATCTACTACTTTGGTAGTTAATCTTTCAAATTGTTTAAAGCAGTATTGCATTTCATTTTATCCCTCTATATTTTAAATGCTTATTAATTTTGAGGAAAAGAGCAACGAGGTACATTATGTAAATGCAAATGCACAGAAATATCCTGGAATAACTTATTAAAAGCAACATTTAGATATTTCTTTGTGGTCTTTATTTGATTGTGGATCCCAAGAGAAAGCTTCATATTCATATGAAGTGTGTAAATCCATCAGAATGTGATTTAATTAATAAAAGTCTCAAACCTGAATCTCACATTGCACAGCTCTCAGTTGTCATGAGGGGATTTCCCTCTGACTGACCATCAGATCGTTGGTTTCCCACATGAGATACCAGCGTTTGCCTGTCCAGAGATTCCCAGAGACCAACCGAGCTGAAGACTCAAACACGCTCACACACATACAAAGGGGGTCGGGAACTACAAATATAGAACAGTCATAAATAGAATAGATATTCCATGTGCAAGGCTGGATTACAGAGCACATTTCTGTATGTGAGTCTGTGTGTTCGTGTGTCCCCTGGGCACAAGTGTCTGTTCCCACGACCTGCCCTCCATCCGTTCTTCCTTCTCTCAATCCTTTCTTCCGTCTGTGCGTCCATTCACTGGCCAGTGTAATCAAACAGAGACTGCTTTGGCAGGAAAGTGAAAGGGAGAGTCAGAAACTCAATGTCCGCCTGTCTCACTATCGTCACAGGGCTGATCAGGCAGACGTCTGCAGTGGTGGAAAGGAACTAAGTACATTTTCTTAAGTACCAAACTTGAGCACACGTTTTTGCTTGAGGATTTACATTTTCTGCTGCTTTATACTTCTACTGTATCTCATTTTATGTAGAAATATCCTACTTTTTACTAATTTATCTGACATAGTTACTAGCTGGTTTCCAATCTGTAGGCCCCTTATCTTTGTGGCCCGTTACAAAAAAGCAATGTCTAGATGGGGCACTGTGTCAGTGTCTATACGTTAGCAGGGATTTTCCTGCTTAACTTCTCAGATGGTTTCATTTAAATAACAGCATGAGGCCCAAAGAGTTCAAAGTATCCAATATTTCACAAAAAAAAGCAATGAGTAGAAAGAGTCCAAAAAATAAAATACTTAAGTCTGTAGCAGAACTTTGTCTTTTATTCTTTCCCCATTTGTCATCTCCCAACCTCTCAGATGTTAACTAGTTAAAACTAGTTCCGCCTTGACCAGCTTTAACAGTATATGCTACTTATGCATCAATTCACCAGTAAACTAATTGTCTATTATATAGTGACATGCCAGTCACAAGAGCACAATAACTTACTAACTGCTTCTTTTCCGAACAAGAAAATATTCAGTTTGTGCAACAAAAATTCAGGGAATGTTTCCATTCATTCATCAGCGCAGGTATTCAACAATCCCTCCAAATACACAGCACATTAACATAACATCTGCATCACAAAACATGCTGTTCAGAAACAGACAATTAATCTATCAAATGACATCAATAGAATCATTGATGCTGTCTCCCTGTCTTTACTATGTCTGCAGTGACACATGTAGACAAAAAGCTTTATTCTATTACAGGATGGTGGGTGGCTATTTTGTGCTACGGCACTGAACAAATGAATACAGGCTGGGTTGAGTCATCAGATTCACCTCCTGATTATAGCCCGCAGTGAGATTGACATGAGGCCTGCACATTGTGAAGTTCGTATTCAGTGTCAAATACAATGACATGGGATGGCCAAGTACCACAATTAGAATCCGAAAATACTGCTCAGTAGCTTCAACACATCCTTATTTATTGAGCCCAATCATTCTGTTTTGTGAAGCATCACCATTTACACATCTACAAATCATACTTTAATCCAAAGTATTGTGAGAATAGCTATTAAAAGACAGGAACTGCTTTTCAAAATAAGATCAAGATCCTTCTGAAGACTGAGAAAATTCTGGAAAAAAATATTTCTGTCTTATCTTTTATACCAAGCTGCCCGTAGAGAGCTTTTGAGGAAACAGCTTCATTTAAGTAGCGACATGTTATTTGTGCGAGCAGCTCTATCCATGAGCCTCAGTAGGAGATAGAGAGCCAAGCTGACTCAATGCCATCAAAGCTGGGTCCAGAGCTGTTTAGTTAAGAGCTGATGTTGTTTACTTTCTTTGACGTTTGACTCCCAAAATGAGCTTCATT